GTATATCTCAATAAGCATGATAATTGCAATTGTTTTAAAATTTTTTTTTTACTTATAAAGTAAAATAATCGCTTCTCGGCCTTTTGGCTAAGATCAAGTGTAGTATATGTTCTTATCAGTTTAAAGTAAAATAAACAAATTTATTAATCAATGTAAAATTTTCATACGATATCTCATTGAAATTTGGAGTTTCTTATGCCATTATTATATTTTTTACACTACTATTTACCTAATTTTTTAAAACAATACAAAGGGAACTCAAAAAAACCCCAGAATGATGTATATATTAAAAATGGCTTATTTATTCTTAGATGTTTAAATGTCATCTTCAAAGTACTCTCTGCTCGATGGAATACACCTACCAAGATGCTTTTTCCATTGCTCAAAACAGTTTTTGAACATATCAATTTTGTTGCCTTTTAGTGCTTCTGTCATTTTTTGTTTTACCTCTTCCACATTGGCAAAACTTTTCCCTTTGAGGACATTTTTCCATTGATGAAACAAAAGAGTTGCTCAGAATGAGATCAAGTGAATAGGGAGGGTGGGGCATGGTGGCAATGCTGTTTTTGATCAAGAACACTCAGTGCATGTGGACAGATGCGCTTGGAAATCACTCATTATGACATAGACTAGAGCGCTGACAGAATCTCCAAAAAAAATGGAACTGAAGCTGAACAGTCTTTCACAACAATGGTACCCCAATGCCAATGGGTTCCTAGAGCACTTATTAGTGAGGGAAGCCTGTACTACAAAGGACCAGCCTTCCAATAAACAATTCAGGGTTTTTTAGGGTCCCACCATATTTCTTTTCATTACTTCCTAGACTCCACAGTATATTTTTGTTTACTGATAAATATTGTATTTATTATTTAATTTCTTTATAATTTCTCACATATATTATACCCCACTCTTTGCCCTAAAACTATGTTACTACAAAACATCAGTTAAAATATTTTTAACATGCTGCCTGTGAGCCCAGGACAGTACAAAGAGCTACATGTATTATCAAGCTTATTCTTCAAAGCAGCTCTGTATGGTACAATTTTTATTATTATCTTATTACTACTAGTTTACCCAAAGCTACGCTTTTAGTAATAAATATATTTAGAGCTGTTCCTAGTTTTACTGCAAACCTCATGATCTTAACTATTTTGCAACACAATTGTGTCAACGTGTGAGAAATTTTTTATTGCTCTTTTATAGGTTTTGGAGGTTTCTGTTTTCATTTGAAGATTGGTGCCACCTTTTAGTGTCATCTGTCACCTATAAAGACACTAGCTTTATTCTTTTCTCCACACTAAGTACCACCTTTTGTTGTTGTTTTAATTTGGATTAGGTAAAGTCTTTTTGTTTCCATTAAAGAAAACAAAAACAAAGAAAGTGAAAATATTTTCTGTGTAATTAAAGTACTTTTGTGAAATTACTCTTCTTGCTTTTCTCTAATTTATCTATTAACATCTTAGTGTTTTTCTTATCTCCTTGTATGATCTCTTGTTTATGAATTAAAGTCATCATTTATCCATAGCCCACAGTTCTGCTTCTCTGATCTAGTATCTTTGAAAATTCCTACCCTAGAGATATAATCACCTTTATTCCATAGGAGGGAGGTTATCTTACTTTCGTTGACACACTTCATACATATATTGATCAACTCTGTGTGAGACCAGGTTAAAGTAATTTCATTCGAATCTCTTTGGGTCTGGAAAGCTTTTGTTATCATATTTTAATCTGCTGAAGGACAAATTGAAATATCTTGCTAAAACAAAGACCAACAGCTTTTGATTATAAGCCTAAAGGGGTTAAACTATTTTAAACTTGTATAATCATGATCTTGATATAGCTGCCTGCAGTTACTCATAGAGTTCCAGTTGCTAATAACTAATGGGAATGCAGATATACCCTGTGTTGACCTATATCTCACAGATAAGCCTAGCTGATATTTCTAACACATTTTGGTTCCTATATCTAAATTATCTCTGAGGCTTATAAACATTCTCAATCTGCAGTTAACTGACTATTTATTGACTATGGAAAAAATATAGTTTTTTTAATGCAATCTGGTGCCGAGGTATTACTGTAACAGCATTTTTAGAGTTTACTTAAAGGAGTCATTTAGAGGGTTATTATTTTACTTCAGATATTGATAGAAAAGGAACACCAGGCTTAATTTTCTTAATGACATATTAAAGCACAGTATGCTCTGTGCATTAGCTCCTTAGAAAACATATTTTGTGGAAATTATTTTTAAAAATTATGTGGGTCATTGTGTATTTGTATAAATTAATCTGAACATGAGTATTCACTTAGTTATATCACAAATGGAAATATTTAGCTCAGTAATATCATATGAATTATGAAAATATTAATTCCTCTAAGATAATGAGAATCTTTTTTGTCATATTGATTATCATATTACTAAGATAACTAGCTAACAATTTTCTCCCAAAATGTATGATGTGCCAGACACTGATCAAAGTGAAATATATATTATTCTCTCACTTGATTTTCATAAAACCTAAGATAAGATTCATTATCCTCACATTTGTTAACCAAAAAATGGAGTGAACTAAGTTACCCATGGTAATTCATTGATGCTATCCTAAAACAAGTGAAAAAAGAAGTATTTAATTTTACATGGTTTCAGGTTTTTTGATTGAATGTTATTGACACTATAAAGTAGAATGCTAATGATAGGTAAGTTGATTTAGATTCTTGGGATTAAAATTTGTGGTTTTGGTGTTATAGTAAATTGTATGTGAGTGCATGTGTGTCTATGTGTGAATGTACTAATTTGTAAAACACAAAGCTTTTTATAATTTTTTAGATTAAGAGAACTTTACAAAATGTTCTGATTATTTTTGGAATCATTAGTGTGTTTCTTGACTGTTAGAATACTGACCAAGTGTTACAAATCCTACTATGGAATAATTAAACATAATGTAGTTATTGCTTTCCTAAACACAATTCTATATGAATTTTTTAAACTGTGCACACTCTTTCAACCAGAATGACAGTTGTACTTTATTGGGGTATGGCATCATTTCTTTTGTCACAAGAAAACAACTGGGTACGCTGTTCACCACTTGTCAATAACCAAAAATTATTTATTTTTCATTGAGTTGAAATTGTGCTGTTTGAAATTAATACATATATGCAAGTTTTCTATATTAATAGATATCACTATATTGAAGTAATTATGCTATTAGTTAATATCAATTATGATAAAGCATTGAATATTTTCAAGAGTCATTCATCTCATTATGTTTAAACTGTAAAGAAGAAGAAAAAAAGATCAAGCAATCATCCTCACCTCAAAAACCTATCATTCTAAGAAAGAAGGGCAATTTTTAAAAAAGGATCAGATAGTAAAGGTTTTAGACTTTGCAAGACATTCGTTCTCTGTCACAATCAATCAACTCTGCTGTAGCAGTACCAAAGAAGCCATAAACAACAAGTAATGAATGTACCAATAAAACAATATTTAACAAACCTGTAGTGACCTAATACACCCCATATGCTGTAGTTTGACAATCTGGATGCTTAGTTTCCCTAATCTGAGTGCTTAGACCATGCAGAAGCAGTAGAAACATTAAATTATATGAGCTTTTAGTAATTGTTTAAGATATTAATAAAGTGAATGTATTTATAAATTTATCAAAATCTGCTAAAAATATTTTAGAGATGTTTTGACTCTTAGAATATTTTAATATACTGTAAATTTGACTCTCAATATCTCTACAGTAGAAATAATTTGGCATATTACTTAAAATATGTTATAATAAATAGATGAATTAGAAAAAATGTTTATTAGGATTCTATTTCAATGGCAGACAGATGCTCAGACACATAATAGTACTAAAAATTAAAACATTCTTGCTACAAAGAAAATAAATACAAATTGTCTGCTTTTTCTTTGAAAAGTATAGTGGAATTTGATTTGAAAATATTTGCTTATTCTCATTAGCACTTGCAAATTTATTGGATGTTTATGTTTTATTATCTTCTCTTTATTTGGTGTAAAAGAGGGAACATACAATTTTGAGTAATGAGAGTTCAGAGTAGACAAATTTTCAACAAAAGCCTAGGCCTGCTGGTATATGGTATTTTTAAGAGCTCATATTACAGTTCTCCTGAAATCACTATAAATGCTATTCATTTATAAAAATACTTAGAAGATAATGCAATGAAGCACCAAATAACTTCTATGCTATATTCTGCTATCAGTTACATGGTTTCTTTCAAGAAAGTGTATTCTGCTATCAGTTACATGGTTTCTTTCAAGAAAGTGCATTTGATTAAACAATTTATTTTTTCTGGATTTTTTTTACTATGAATATGTGGAAAATTTAAAAGAATCTTGATGTTGCAATATCCAAAAAAGTGCATGTTTACATATAGTTTGTTTTTTTATATAGCAGTAATCTCTCTGAAAATATATACTTGGAGATGCTTTAAAATCAGAACATGTAAAATTTAAATTGGTAACCTTCCATGAATGATTGGAGAGGTCACATAAGCATAACATTTCCAATACCACTGAAGTAACAAATCAGCAGGTCAAAGGAGCAAGATTTATTTTCCTTCCAAATCTGTAGGTTATATGCACAACATATACTTGAATGGCATTTAGAATGCCTTCCAGATGTAAATTTTGAGGAAATTTCTGAGAAAAGATATGTTTAAGTGGGCTTACATCTTTATTTGTATGTCTATAAAACTGCATACAATTAATTAAAATATATTGGCTCATTGTGTTTCCTACTGAATAATCATTTCAAGCAAAATAACAAATATTGAGTTTAGTATAGCTATGTATTTCTTAAATCCATAAAATGCTTCTTAATTTGAATGGCATTGTGGAAATAATGTAAGTGTATGCATTTAGGTATTTTGGATGTCGAAAAGGAAAGCGGACACCTGAGTAAATTCATAGTGTCTTTATGCTATATTTAGGGAGTGGGATCTCTTCCTTATCTTGGGCTCTCTTGTTTGCTTTTCAGTTGCTGCGAATGTGGCTGTGGGAGGGCTTCTTCCCTGTGCGCTGTTGCCCATCCAAGCCTAATATGGTTAGTGTTCCCTCCCACTTTCACTCCTATGTGATGTCCACCTCTATGTATTGCTGTCAGCATTCCTTTTTTTTCTCCATTTGTGTACATTTTAACAGTTAGTACACCGATTAAACCTTAAAAGTGAGAAGAGTAGAATGAAACTGGCTACCAAAGGTGAATCTTAACAAATTATTCACAATGAATTATTTCAAATAAAATATCATATATATATATAGCTCATCTTCCTTATGTCAAACATCCATATTTCTCTTCTGAGGCTTTGACCATGTTGTTGATTTAAGCTAGGAAGTTATGAGAGTGTAGCATCTGTTCTACATTTGACATGTCGCTGTTTTTTGTTGTTCCATTAAGTGAAAATCATATCACACATGAAGTAGAAAGCCACTTCTGTCAAGGTGAAATTACCTTTTGTGTCTCCCAGAACCATGAAATGACCATAATGTAACCAGGATCTTCTATTGTCGTATCATCAGGGTGAATATATAAGGCTTTGGAAAATAAAACCACATGTAATTTTATGTGATGTACCTAATTTTATTAAATTTGAATTGTTTCAAATATAAGTTTCAAATATTTCTATTATGATACAAATGAAGTAAATGTTATGCACGTTTTTGGAATCAGTGTCTAAATGCAATAGTCTTAATTATTGCTAATACAAATCCTGAATGTACCTATCAGTTATAACTGGGCTCTCTTGTTTGCTTTTCAGTTGCATATTGTCATCTAGAGTATAAGACCATAAACTCTATTCACAAATGTACAGGGCTGTTTACATAATAGTGAGCACCTTGTAAAAAGTGAAATACTGCAGATTTCTTTCTAAATTTAGGTCTAAATCCTTACACTGTTGTACTGAATTGTCATTTGCAGTCTAAAGTTGCCAAGAAAAGACTTACAAAATGTGTTTTAGAGAACTATAGGGTTTCCTGGGGGTATTCAAAATTGCTAGATCAGGGGTGCCCCCTCAAAATGTATACACATTATAAGAGATGTTATCTATGCATTACTTTTAGTTTGCCATAATCAGACTTGTCTGAACACTGATGATAACCACTTTGAGCACCTCCTGTAATTGTAGAAGTCAAATATGAGTTGTGTTCATCTTTTGTTATCAATATATATTGAGTATTGCAATTTTAATACAGTTTTTTCCTTTCTTAAAATATGTATAAATTTTTGGCACTCTCTGTATGTGTTATGTAAATATTAATTAATTATTGTTGTTTAAAAAATTTTTGTGTGAATGAGTGTAAGGATATGTGCACAAGTGAGAAATGGAATGGACACCATGATAGAAAAAATAGAGTAAACAAACACAGACTGATATAATTCAGAAATCTTATTAATCTATTAAAATTTTTGTATTAGGAAAAAGTTTAAAGTAAATATGGAAGTGCATATTTGTTCCCATTATTTAACTTACACAGTCAAGTTTTGTGTGCATTGGGTTTCAGTGACAAACCAAATAAAAACTAAAATCTAGCAATAGCTGAAATATAAACAAATGGATTTACACTGTGAGTTTTTTACTGTGCTATGAAAAACTAAAATACGTTTGCTGAATTGCCTATTCTACTTCAGTCTCAAGTATAGTTGTTAAAAGAGATAAATTATCAGTGAAGAAGAGTAAACAAAATTTATATCTTCTAAAAGAAAAAGATTGGCATTCATGCCTATCTTGAACTAAATCTCAAAGATACCTCAATGGGAGTATGAACATTTATGGGTCCGTGACTTAGAGAGCATTGGCAAATACTAAGTTTAGCTGGATTTAAATACTTGTTTTTAAAAAAATGTTTTTTTCTTCTGTTCAGTTGGCTTCTGGAGGTTTATAAAATAAATGAAAGAAAAGAAGGAAAGTAGAAAGGTAGAACTCTTTCTTCACAAAGACTACACGTCAGGAATTATGAAGGCAATTAATATGTTTGTGTGTGTGTGTGTGTGCGTGTATATTTATGTGTGTGTACAAGAAAAAATATCTAGCTACAAATACACTTATGCACTCAATAATGCTATCAGTCTTTGCGAAAAAATTGTGGAAGAGTCAGAAATTTAAAAAAAATGTATTCTTGGTAAAAGCAAAACAAAATAAAGTGAAATAAGCAAACTTTATTTGATCTTTTAGACATTAGACAATAAGAAACTTGTCCAAAATTATCACTTCGGAAAAGTGAGAAATAATAATGTTCTTATTGCTGTCTTTTCTTAAGTTTTATTTTATAGTGTCAAGTCAATGCAAGGTTTCAGTTAAGAAAGACATTGGTTTAGATCAAAGCATTAGGAAGAAAACAACCTTAGATAATGGAAATTAAGAACTGAGAAGAATCATTTTTTCTAATGAAGTCAGTAAAATACTAAGAAATCTGAAATCTTGTCACCTAATTTTGTATGTCTTATCATTCTAGCATTTCCAATTACCATGTCAATAATTCTCAAGGAACGCTCTATCATCATCATCTGTGAACAAACACATTTGCAATTATACAATAGAGATTTATAAACATTTTGGATCTTGGAATCTCATTGTTTTTCATTTCTTGTGATATCTTTCATGAATATGTGTGGTTAGTTTTCTCCTTCCTATAATATGATGCATGTATATAAAAATTAGCCATAGTAATTACACTGACTTTTAGAATTTCTCCCATTATCTGAATTGTAGAAATCTAGGGATCTGAGAGCATGATTTCAAAACCATTGATCTAAATCCTTGGTTCTGCAATTCAAATATGGTAAAGATTTTTCAAGCCTCTGAGATTCTCATTTTTATTCTGTTATATTTATCATCAAGAAACCACATTCATTATTTTTCAAATTTATGATGTGCCATTTATAAAATAAAATTTGCAATTACATGTTGACTTATTTAATCCTTTTATCTCAAATTGTTTTTTATCACTATAGTTGCCTGCTTTGTTGTGACATTCATAAACATAATATCAATATTCCAAATATTCTCCCTGCTTTGAAATCTATCCAGTAATGAAAGTTATTTATATAATATTTCAGAAGAAACTCAGAAGCCTAGATATTGACCACCCTATTCCCAAGACTGCCTACATTTTTAGCAGAAATATTTTATTGGTTGTCTTTGACTTTATTGCCATCTGGACCAGCTTAAAATTCTAATCATTGTTTCACTTTAAAAAAAATATTTTACAAACAACTAATTTTCAGTGGGTAGTTTTAATATAAATAAGATATTAATATGTGTACTAGAATATTGTACACACATTATATATTATCCTTTATCATGAATATTCACTTGTACTTACAGAAACCAATATATATTTATAGCATAATATTTATTATAAATCCATCTGAGCTATCCTATAATCACAAAGTAGCCACTACTTAAATTCAGACACATATCAGATTTTTTTATCCATTAATTTTTATTTTTTCCAGCATTTCCATTTTATTTATTACATTTTCTGAGTAAAATGTCAGTGGAAAAGGAGTCACTATTTTGAAAATAGAGATGTTATTTTTTTTCATTTACCTATTCAGTAATATTTAGAAATCAGTCTCATTTTTTGAAGAAATTCATTTTTTGAATTTAAAAATTGTTATTATTAGAGACACAAGAGATGAACTCTAGCACATTTCATAATGCAGAGATTAAAAGTAAAACAAAAACAAAGCATATGTCTCTGGCAAAAATGATCGTGAATCTTTTTGAACCATTAACTATTATTTTAATTTGTCGATAAACTATTTTCTTTTTTATATTAACTGTAAGAATCTTGAAATATGAAGTAAGAAAATGTTCATTTTCGCAGATGCCTTACTAAAGTTATTTTAGTCATTTTTAAATCTATCTGCCAGGGAGGTATGTGGAAGCACTCTCTCATTTTACATCTCAGGAAAATGGAATAAAGAATAAAACCATCTCTTTGTAATAATTCTAGACGTCTATTTAATATGCTTTGTGGCAGGCAGAAGTGAGGGTTGTTTGAAATGTATATAAACCATACTGAATTTCACCTGAAGACTTGCTATGTAAACTATAACCATGAACTGCTCTAAAATATCCTTCCCACAAATAACTGTGAAACCTCAAACTACAGAGGATATTAATGGGCCTACATAGGTTGAAAAGTCTAATGGTGGCATCCATGAGATAGTTTTAAAAGAATAGGAAATTACCTACTAATTATAAGGCGGTTAGTACCCATGTTCAAATGTGAGGTGAGAACCCAGACAACAACGCCCTCTTTTTGTGAGGTATAATCTCACATCGTTCCCTTATCCAAGGAGAATGTGTTTTTCAACATGAGTACATTTCTCTCTAGAGGTATGTCTTAGAATTTTTAGTAAGTAGTAATTTATTACTTGCAATTTTTGTCTAACTTAAATCTACTTATATTGAACTCAAAATCCCAGTAGCCTGGTGTTACAAATGAGAAAAATCTGGATAGAGAATCATACGTTCTGCTAGCAAGACTGCCTAAATATTCAATGACACCTTTTATTGCATATCCATTTATATTCTTATTGAAGTATACTGTCTCATAAAACAATGTAATCCATTCCATTATTATTAGATATATTGATAACCTAAAGTTCTTTATTTTATGAAGCTGAGTTTTATCAAAATTACTTTTGTTTAGTTGAAGGAAATACTGAAATTAAAAAAAGCAAAGTATTTTTCAAAAAGCTGTAACATTCTTTTTAAGATTCCAGTAATAAAATTATTTAACTACAACATTATGCAATGGTTGTTATGTCAGAACAAGGCAGTATGCTTATATGAAGAACTGTGGTTTTAACAGTTTAAGAATTTTTCTTTTCTATCATCTTATATTGATGTAAGTGATTGCTGTAAATTGTTGTCTTTCGAATATCTTTGCTTTAATGTGGAGGAAAAGCATTTCTCTTTGTTGTTGTTGTTGTTGTTGTTGTTGTTGTTGGAGTCAGAGTCCCACTCTGTTGCCCAGGCTGGAATACTGTGGCATGTTCACAGCCACTGCAGACTCAACCTGCTGGGCTCA